GATAAAGTACATACTCAAATAGTTGGATACTCTGATGTTGATTGGGCATGTTCACCCATTGATAGACGATCCACCTTTGGGTATTGTGTACTTGTTGGAGGAAACTTGATATCCTGAAAAAGTAAGAAATAAATGTAGTTGCAAGAGCAAGCGTTGAGGCAGAATATATGGCTATGCCACTAGTAACATGTGAGCCTGTTAGCAGTTGCTCAAAGAACTTCAATTTAAAGAAGCAAGATTAGTGACACTTATTTGTGATAATCAAGTTGCATTGTATATTGCTTCGAATCCAATGTTTCACAAGAGGATCAAACATATTGAGATAGACTGTCATTTTGTTAGAGAGAATATCGAATCAGGCGAAATTGTTACAAGCTTTATCAACTTTAATGATCAATTGACATGTGTGATTACAAAATTCCTACGAGATCCTAGAACTAATTATACATGTGGCAATTTTGGTGCATTTGACTTATATGCTCTAGTTTCAATGGAAGTGATAATATTTATATATATAATATCCTTTATTCAATCTAAAATAGAATATATTGTAACATATTTCGTATGTAAGTGATACGATAATTTATGTAATTAATACAATAAACTATAAATCTCACTATATAATACAATCTTCATATTGCTATTCAAACGCACAATTTTATTTAAATGTCTCTTCCTCTCACATTTCAATAAGACCAACCAATATAGTTTAAAAACGAATGAAAGATATTTCTAAATAGTTAGTTACCTGGTCGAGCTGAATGACAACAATAAGCAGGAACTAGTCTCACATTAAAATGTTAAAAGTTGCATGAGAGAAAAGGTTTTTAATGAACTTCAAAGATAAGAATACACGAAGGAAGGAGAAATACCTTGTTTAAGTCATGAACCAAATAGTTTAAGAGAATTTCTTATGGCACCCTATATGTTTCTAATGCACCGTGTGAAATGCCCCCCTGATTTCGGATATGCATCTTTGTACGCACCCCAGCACACACTCAACAAAGGTCATTCTAAATTACGCCCTTTTTTTGGTTTAATATATTCTGGAGATGCATCTCCGAAATGATTATGTAGTTAAATCTTCGGAGGCACACAAATATCAGATTCAACATAGAAGTAATTTTCCAAAATAAAATTGACATTCATAACATAAAATGAGCATTATAATGATGATTTCAACATAAAATTCAATATTACATTTCAATATCTCAGTGGACGCTTGCACATATTTAAAATATCTTCGATCCATCTTTGTAGTGTCACTTCCTACTCGAGCGGAACTTTTGTTTCAAAACAAAAATATGTATTCCACATAGCTCTAATATTCATTTGCGTCTTGAGCTCAAATTTGATGAACTCAATCTTTTCTTTGTTGTCAATCGATGGTGAAGGGTACTAGAGTTTCACTATTTTTCAATTGTCTCTGTAAGGTAGGAGGTGGTGGATTTCATCTTTGATATCTTCGAGGGAAGTGAAGTATGCGAGTTTGAACGTTCAGTCGGGTGTAGAGTCAGAGAAGGACACATTTGCGACATGCCAATAGATGTTTATTTGTGGCATTTAAGACATTTTCAGTTTGTGTAAATAAAACATTAGAGCATCTTAATTTATAGAAGTCATAGATAAATTTGGATCACTCATTAACTGGCATGCTGATTCTAGAGATATATCTTCGAAACGCACCCTATTATCTTGTTCCGGAGATGCATCTCCGAAACTTCTCCTAAAACAGTATCACACAGAACCTTTTTTTCATCTACAAAAAGTTTATTGTTGTTAGGGGGAATATCAAAAATGTATAAAGATAAAATATGAGCAAAAGATGAATATATAACACTTCATTTATATTAAGACACAATTACATATTTGTCTTGTTAAACAAAAAATTAAACGAATCGAAACATATGTTTCCAGCTAAATCCATAGGTGGTACCCCCTTGGACTTTTGTGCATTTGATTCTTTTTCAATGTTGTTCAATCTCTCAATTTTTTGCATCCTTTTCATAAAATGATTCAGCCGCGTCTTGGCTTTTGTGGTTGAGTGAGTCGTCCACTCCGGTGATATAAGTGGTATAGGGCATCCCGGTTTCAAGTAAACTTGAACAAAATGACTTGATTTTGAAGTCACCCAATACACATGATATGGTCATTTGAATTTTGGGGTGGGGCAGTGCGAAGTGGTAAAAAGGTTTCTGAAAAACCGCAGTGTGTCAAGTTAACACACATTTTATCATACGCACATGCTAGTTAATGACCCATTTCAGAGAAGCGCATCCATTTTGCCTCTGGTGCTGGACTGATCAAGTAAGGAACAAGAGACTCATAAACTACATCAAATTTTTCTTTCTTTATGAGCAACTGTGTGAATGATTCTTTATGCATATTCAACTCTTAGATAAGTTGATGTCGGACAACTGTATGAGTATCTTCTCCTTTACCGAGTAAAGTCGAAACGGCTCGGTAACTGCAATTACAGTCCCCCACAACATTGAGGATCCACTCGATATATTTGTGCATAAAAATCGGTATCTCGTCAATGAATGGAATTTTTGGTGAAAGCGGCGTCGGAGGTGGTTTGCTAATGCGATATCCTTTGGCAACATTTTTTGAGATATTGGAGCTGGTGATTCGGGAAAAAATTCTCAACATGATCAAAATATGAAAGAGACCATGTAATCGAGTTGTCATTCGGTGTATGATTCATTTTCTTTGGAGCACCTTTTGTTTTTACTAGTTGAGAATGCAGTTTCATGTCAGTGATTTTCAGATAGGTAACCTTCCTCAACTTTTCTTTAATGTGGAGTTTCATGTTGTCATCGGCGTTCAAAAAAGTTTCTTGTCTCACTTCCCATTTGGTCAAAATAGAGATATTCGATTTACCGTCATCCATGCATCCATCATCATCAAACTTAAGTCTTTTACAATGAGTGTAAACCTCATCCATTCTTATTGGTTCACCAAGTTTCATTTTTTTAGCAATGACACAAGAACATGGGAAACCATATGTTTTCACAATTGTACACTACACTTTGTGCTATCGGAGCCTACATTATCAGCTCTTTTAGCCTCGTGAAAAATATAGTTCAAACCCGCCCAAGAAATGCTACCAACCAACTGAGAATATAGAGTGTTATCTTTAAATCTGTGTTCCAAAACTGTGATACTCCGGCCAAATGTTGTTTGTATCTCATTATGTTGGTTTTTAATCATTTAGCTAACGGAGTCCCAGTCTCTAAACAAATCCCCCTTACTATTTCCCGACCAATTTTTCAAAGTAACATGGACAGACTCAACTTTGTTAGTTGTTGTATTTCCAAGGTGTCTAACATTATCAGTCCACGCACAAACTATCTTCTCCTTCATCTGGTCAAGAACTGTACTTTCAACATATTTCAATAAATCTAGATACTTTTCACACACTTTCTAAAAATGAATAACGGAATCGACATATAGTTCCTTTGTTGAAGAATTTATTATACAATTCCATGCATCCATTATTTTTTTCACAACCACACCCACCTTCACCAATTTTCCATCTTCAGACTCTATTTGTTGCATCCCTACTGCAGATTTAACCTGACTTTTCACATTCTTTGTTATATGATACCTACAAAGTAATGCATAAGAATAAGGAAATATCTTTGCAATCGAATTCATCAATGCGATGTTGCGGTCAGTAACATCGTTTTAGGCATCTCACCTTGGATCTTCAACTATGACCGGCACACCTTTAATGCACAAGTAAAATTGTTCTCTTTTTCACACTCAAGAAATGCAAAACCAACAGAATATGTCTTTTCAATTGAGGTAACATCAACCATCTCAAATAATATAAGTTTATACTTATTGCTCTTGTAGGTTGAATCAAGTATGAGCACCATAGTAAACGTGTTAAACAACTTTATGGAATCAAGATGAGTCTAAAATATCTCTAACAATAATTTCATCATCACACGTTTGGTACCTAGACACGTAATTGTTATCATCTAACAGTTTCAAGAGTTGTTGCATATCTCTAACAGTTTCTTTTAAAATTTTAGGGAAAAGTTTGATATTTCCCAATTCTTTCACACATCATTATCACAAAGGTGCATCTTCTATCCAAATCATTATCATACCTTCAGATAAACACATTAAATTTAAGTTTAGAAGCCTCCATACAAATCCATATTCAAGTTTAGAAGCCTCCATACAAATCCATTAAAGTATTTGATCACGAGATTCAAACTCTCACTTGTTTTTAAAGTCATTGCCAAAGTCTATCACCTAAACAACAACACTTTGAACATTAAGAGAAACAAAATACCCCAACATATAGAATGCCTCTCAAAATGATCCTTGTTAAATGTGCAAAAGTCATATCCAAAAATATATCTCCGAAAACAAAAAGGCATCATAGAAATTTGTGTGGAACACTAGGTCCTGTGCATTAAGAAATTCTCTAGTTTAAAGAATTCAAATATGGTTTTGGCTCTAGGTATAGCAAGCTTTGATTTTAAATTCAGAGCCAAACATAGAAGACTAAGTTGATAAAAGATGAAGTGGCACTATCAAAAAGCGGTCAGTGACACGTGATCTAAAGCCACATCATCGTCTAAAATCAAACTTATTAGAGATTAAGGCTATGCTAGGCAAGTCTTAATTGGTACATGACATTTGTCTCAACGGACTTTAAAGTGCACTTAAAATTCTTCCTTACCAGAGATATTTCAATTACCGGCAGTAACCATGTTATAGATGTGTCTTATAATATTGTTCTAAGAGTTTAACTTATACTGGTATATAACCTCCATTTGACAACAAACCCTCGAAGCTTTTCCCCTTACAATTTCAATTGCCAGCCCGGCTTTCAAAACATTAGCCTAATGCATATAATTACTAATTTTACATTCATTAAACTAGCTATTAAAATCTAAAAGATTGGTAAGTGGGTTTACAAACATTGCATAATGTCTCAAACCTACCCCAACCACTCCTTTACAATTTAGGATGCCCATTTATTTTCTCCTCTTACCCTGCAACAACAGAATCATCTGTTTTAGTAAGAAAGCATAGAAAAACTTAGAGAAAGCAGGGAAAGAATATAATGCACAGTTAGCAAGTATGCATACCGAATTAGCATAATCGTCCATAGTTAACTGCTTCCGCTTCTTTGTAGAAGATGGACTCTCAGTCTGTCTTGCCAAAGCCCGCTTTGTTGGAGTCGTGTTCTGAAAGATTGTCAAAGTTGAGTACGGTAAAAAAAAAAGTCACAATGAATACAATACTAGTAACAATTTTTTGGGAAAACATAGAGAAACCTTGGCAAGCTTCTTCTCTTTGCGAGCTTGTCTTTCCCTCTCATCATATTCCTGGTTTTCCTTTTCTACCAACCGAATAAGGGTGTCACACCTCCTGGCAAGTTCCTGGGTTGTGCGAGACTTAACAAACCAATCAAATCTGAACAAAGGTGATGTTCGAAATGCAGCCTTCAACTCATCCCAGTTACCATAGCCAAGTTTGTGAACCATGCATATCTGCAAATTTATAGCAGGAAAAATAAGATTTTCAAAACCATGGAAGGATGGTTGTGGGCATGAAGAAATAAATAAAATTCCTACCATGAATCGGTCACATTCTTCATTGTATAGCTTCCCTTTGTTTTGTCCATACTGTACTTTCAACTCTAGCCAAGGATTCTTGTAGCGGTCCAATTTCTTTCCGATAGCTTTCATGATCTCATCCTTCCGAGAAATTCTAGCCTCTCCCCTCTCAATGTTTTTGATAATTCTATCATAATCTGCAGAAAATTATTCAAATTGAACAGATTAGGCAGAACCTTGACATTCTAACAAGAAACTAATTTAGAGCTAGGATTGATAAATCACACATACAGATAAAATAATTGATACAACTGATACAAAAATGTGCTGCATTTTAACTCAACATTGCACTAAACAAGTCCATATCAAAATACAAACAACATAAGTTGACTACATGAAACGAGCAAATTGAGTTTTGAAAAAGACATCTAGAGATTAACAGATAGAAAATGATTTTGATTTGGATTTGGCTTGGTATTCTAACTCCATGTTCAAACATAAAACAAAAGCTTGTTTTACAGTTGCACTCAAATTGGTTGTAACATACCATTTAATTCCTTGTATCTTTCTTTGAAGACCTTGGCATATCTTTCAACTTCCTCATCAGTTTTTCCTTCCATCTCAGAAGCAATACTTTGTACATCATTTCGACCATATTTCTCACAGGCCCTGAGGAAAGTATTAAAATCTTTCCGGCTCCATGATGAAAATCCCTATATTGACCAAACAACAAAACTCAACAATAGGTCAATATGCAAGTCTAGTTGGCAAAAGGGAGGCAATTGTTCACCTGTTCTAGCAGATGTTCCTTTTCTTCCATCTCTTCAGCAGTCAATTGATTTCCTGCCTCTATACACTCAATAAATCATAATTAAAATTAAATATACAGGCAAAAAGGAGGCAGAACATTAGTCTGCAGAATACTATGTACCTTCTGGTTCATCAACATCTATTGAGTCCTTCACCTGATTCTTCTGATGTGCTTGCTGAAATTTTATAAAATATTAGGTCCTGAGTAGGAACTACACAAGCTAAACCTAAAAAAACTCAAACACATTCTTTTACATATACCTACCATGAGATAACGCACTTCCTTTTCATACAGTTCACTCAGTCTTTGAGTGTTGAAAAACTGGAAATCATGCCTGGGGGAAGAACAAAAAACTATTAGTAATAGCAAAATCTCTACATTAAAAGGAAAAATAAAGTGCATAACTTACAACTGTGGCATCCTTGGAATGCGGGGCTCCTTTGGTTTAGTGGGGCCACCTTGGCGCAAGGTTTGCTTGAAGTACTCAGACTCTGAGTAACTAAAATTCCCCAAGAACCAGCATACCGTGTCATAAAAATATGTTCAATAAAACTGGATGCATAAATGTAAAGGAAAATCCTTACTTGCGCTTCCGCTCCCTTCTTGGTGGCTCAACCCAGTTTTCACTCACAATTTTTTTGAAATCAAATTTGTTCTCATCCTTTATTTAAAGAAATAAAAGTAATTGTCTGGGTTAGTTGAATAATAAGGGGGCAAAGGAGAGTAGGTACATACAAAGCTAATTAAAATAGTTATCAAAGACACAATAAAATGTAACTTTACCTTATCATCATCAAAGTCATATAACTCGGCAGCTACAAGAAGAAAGTAGAGGTAATTAGTAACGGCAAATTAATAAACAGCTGAAAGCATAAAACGTTTAAGCATCAAACCATTATTGTTTTAAAGGCTAAAATATAGTGATAAATTGCATACTGTCATCCATCTTAAATTTGATCGCATCTTCAGTAAATTTCTTCATCTTGGCATCAAGCTCTGCAGTTGCCTCTTCTCCTTTGGCAATAATTCTATCAATATCCTCATCTGTAATTGTACTATCCTTGGAACTGAAAACCATTTCAGCTCCAAATCTAACCATTTGAAGCAACTCATCTTTATTTACCGCTGCATATATAAGCAAATGGAATCCATATTAGAAGATGAACCATATAGTACACCATGAAGAAATGAAAGAATAAAGGTTGCCCAGCAAGTCCTTACTCTTCTGCTCAGCCAACCGCCCTTGTTGAATTACCAAAGCATCAAGTGCAAGCTTTTTGTAAGCCCTTTCAATGACTTTCTCCTCAATTGTATACTGTAGCAAAACAGTGATGCAATGAGATACCAACACATACACGGTGAATATAAACTGGAATGACCAAATGAAGTTTAAAATTGCAAACCTCAGTGCAAAAACGGAACACTTGAACTTCTTTCTTCTGACCTATCCTATGAGCACGATCCTGAGCCTGCAAGTCAACTTGTGGGTTCCTGTCTCAAAATCGCAAACCATTAACAAGCAGTAATGATTATGGCACAGGTACAAATGAGATGGCTGCATCCACAACCATTGGAAATACTGACCAGTCACTATCATACAGAATGACGACATCAGCAGTAGCAAGATTAATACCAAGACCCCCAGCTCGAGTTGATAACAAGAAGACAAATTTCTCACTTCCCGGTTTGTTGTAAGCCTCAATGGAGGCATCACGATCATCCCCACCAGTATTGCCATCTATGCGACAATATTGATATCCACGGAACATTAAATAGTCTTCAAGAATGTCTAGCAGCCTAGTCATCTGGGGGAAGAACCAGAAATTAAGCACAGAAGAAAATTGAAAAGGAAAAATGAAAACATTATAAAATGGATTACAGCATATAAGAACTTTACAATCATCAGTGACAAGAGTCAGATTCCTACAGAACAAACCTGTGAAAATATAAGGACCCTAGAATCACGCTCCTTTAATTTAGGAAGCAACTTATCCAAAAGAACCATTTTACCTGCAGATGAAATTATTAAAATAAAGCATGTGTTTTATTAATCAACCCAGAAAGAACTTCTGAACTCTTAAAGTGAACAGAACTTACCAGCACTGGTAATGAGATGATCTCCTGTTGTATAGGGGGGACCAGGTTCAGCACCTTGGAAAAGATATGGATGATTACAACATTTGCGTAGTTGCATAGCTATGTTCAGGAGGCGCTTCCGTTCTCCACCGGCATTGACAACCTCGAGATCCTTCTGCAGTAATGCTTTATAATACTGTTTCTGCATCTGTGACATGCCAACTTTAAGAATGGTTTCTTTTTTTGGTGGCAACCCTTTCTCAACATCCGACTTCAACCTTCGAAGGAGAAATGGTCGGAGAACCTTGATATACAAAGAAAATGAAAGTGTAAATTATGCATCAGATTAACAGTGAAGATGATCAAAAAAAGTTCTATAAGTTACCTTGTGTAATTGTTGAACAACCTCCTGTTGATCATTTTCACCAGAGATTTGAAACCATTCATCAAAGGTTTCAGCAGAACTAAATATTTCGGGCAGAAGAAAGTTAAGCAGAGACCAAAGTTCGTGGAGATTATTCTGTAACATTAAAAGAGGTCGTGAACGGCAGTAAATACTTGAGTCACATATATACAAACAAAAGAAAACACTAGGACAGGAAGGGAGTCTAAATCTGCAATTCAAAAGAAGTCAGAAAAGCAATTAAAAAACCAACAATAACACTAAATACCAATACTAAAACTTAAATCAATGCAAAGTTACATATCTAACAAAAAAACTCAGCAGCAACACAATGCCAATGCCAAATCTTTCCTTACTGTAGTTGCAGTTTCTATGCATAATGCACTAATGCCCACTCGCACCTAGATCTAGCAAAACAGATTACCGGGCCTGTGACAGATTTGGGCTTTTCAGCCCAGCCCATTTTAGCACCTCTTTGCACCCCTTCTCCCTCAAAAATAAAGAAGCAAATATTCAAAATTGGTCTGGGCTACTGTAACCAATGAAGATATATAAAAACAGGCACAATACGAAATTAACAATGCAGACACACACCCTCCAATGCTTCTAACAGTTTCTCCATTTGAATATTTAATGAGATTGATATAGATGACACCATACCAATGTACCATTTATGATTGCATTGCAAAAATTGGTATGGAACCACCTCCATATCTATAATAGATACTGAATTGAATTTTTTTTTTTTAAAAAGATAAGAAAATCCCATTTTCACATGACTGCACTATTATACTACAATATGACATACCTGAAGTGGTGTGCCAGTAATAAGGAGGCGATAGTTTGTATTGAAAATCCTCATTGTTTTAGAGAGCAATGAATTCTCGTTCTTTATTCTGTGAGCTTCATCGATAATTATGTAGCGCCAACTAAACCGACGTAAAGTAGACTTCTCCTTGATAGCCATTTCAAAACTTGTAACACAAACATCAAACTTCCCAGCAACCAACAATTCCTCTCTTATATGTCTCTGCATTAATTTAAAATCATTAACAAAAAAGCACTACAGTTAAGCATCAATTGTTGTGCAAAAATAATCCAACCCAGCAACGTTGGCCATACCCTTTCTTCAGGGTTGCCAAGGAATTTTACAGCACGCAGAATAGGACAGAAGCGGCGAATCTCATTCATCCAATTCCCAAGAGTTGATTTTGGGGCAACCACCATATGAGGACCTTTAATTCCTCTGAACTCATGCAAGTAACCCATTAAAGATATAGTTTGCAATGTTTTACCGAGCCCCTGCAAATCACATTTATTGTCATAATAAAAATCAACTCACCAATAACATTGAAGCTGAATAAGGCATATAAATCAACTTAGTTTATCAAACTACAAACACATAGTTAATCCACATGCAGTTAATTTGATGAGAAAGCTATGTTGTCAATAGCAAGGAATAGTGTAGCCATGATGGGGTTCAGCACAACGCTTTTGGCTTGAGTGCCGCCGTCAGCAATGATGGTTGTTGCGGCCACTAATTACTGTAAAATTGCAGCCCCAAACTACTATCGTGTTTGCTAGTGGAGTTTGAGGGTTAAATTCCTCAAAATACTTCTTTAAGGTTATAAATTTCAATCCGAACCCTTTTAAGAGTATGATCTTCATTCTGTTATGCTCTTGCTCACAAACAATTGGTTTGTTCTTCCTACTTTTACTTCAGTTCTCTGATGTTGGTCTTCACTACTTAAATTCCATTGCTCTATCCTTTAGATTCTTTAACTATCAAGTATGATTGTATCATTAATTGTGTATTTCCCTATTTTTGAGTATTCGTGTTAACTTTGTAAACTGATTTTAGTCTAAGCAATGGCAGCTATCCTGCTGTCTGTTACGCCACTCTAGCAACTTAGGGGACTGGTATTCCGCAACTGAGACTACCAACACGGTGAGAAAGGTTGTCAAGATAGGGGTTTTGACAAAGATTAGGAAGAGATAGAAGATTGCAAAACATAAGATAACCATGATCATAAGATCCCACCAAAACGAAAAATACTTGTTTGTGTCATTGTTGTCAATTGCAGAAAATAGCAGATTGTTAAAACTCTGCTACACGATAGTGCTACAACACCGCTTTGGTTGCTATTTAACAATATTTTATACTAAATAGTGTATCATGGAACAGTAGTGGTTTGTTCAAATTATGTTACACTATATCGGTGTAGTGCCACTACAGCTGCTATAAGTTCACAATTTTAAAATAGGGTTTCTTTGTTTTTACCCTAAATCCAAGCCTATAAATACTCAAGATCACACACAATCATATGATTTCATGATCCATAAATGATTTCAATACAACCTCACACCGATCTTGCCCTAAAACAGGATCTTGTAATTATGATTGGATGGGCAGAGTAGAAACACACAATCTTAAGATTTTACTATTTAAATCTAGATCTTGATAACCATTATGAGACACATCTGCAAGCACAAAATTAAACACATACCATCTCATCAGCCAGAATTCCATTTATTCCATTCTCATACAATCTAATGAGCCAATTTAGTCCAGCCAATTGGTAATCCCTCATCTTCCCTTGAATACCTAAAATAAATATCAAATACTTAATTCACATTCATATGAGCCAAAATTTTAAAAATACTAACAGTGAAGATAAAGCTACGCATTTAGTTGAAAAGCCCCCTCCCACCACTGAAGTCTACTGCTAGAATAAGAATCAAGTAAAATGTTTGGTAAATCCAGAAGATCCCTGTGAAGTTATGCTACTAATGCACAGCTTCACATCCTTACCCAGCAATTGATAGCAGAAGGGTGGGAGAAAAAACTAAACATGCATCACATATGTAAAAAAAAAAAAAAAATGAATTTCAAAGGCAAATATAATATGGCATAATAAACCATGCAAGCAGACACATAAGACATTTACATGATGGTTGTGTCATCAGACGAGTGTTCGCAACACCATCTTCTTCTCCTTTCAGGTACTCTTCATCTTCCTCTTCTTCAGTCACTTTTGACGCATGGCGGCCACTAAAAACAGATAACATTAAATGCCAGTTATGTTTTGTTTGTATGGTATAAAGTTAATGCGAGATCAAACACAACTCTTTGCTGCTTCTCTGAAAATCAAAGTCATAACACCATCATAGATGGAGAAAATATTTATTTTAAATAGGTAGCAGGCACTTCTTAGGTATTAGTTTATTAAAGGAGAGTTAATGACACATAATAACTGAATTACATGAATTAAATTTGAATGGGAAACTTTTTGACAATTTTATAATGTTAAAATAAAAAGACAAATGACTATGCTAGACAATCTGAATCACTGAATGAAGAGCCTAGGAACTCCACCTGGATATCCAATCATTTAATGAGGGGTTTGTTTCAACAATTTTCTTGGCATAGAAAAATTTGGTTACACCGTTTAAAACCTTAAAGAGCATGAAACTTTGACGCAATGAATGTATTATTTGTGATGTAATATGGATGGCAAATATAACCAAATTCAGATCAAAAACAGAAAAAAGATAATGTTATGGCATAGCATATCATATCATAGCATATGACACACGAATCTTAAAATGTACCTTCCTCTTGTCTTCTTTTGAGATGATGATGAATCACCTTTTGCAAAATGCGCAAACAGCTCAGTCTGCTGTAACAGATACTTCAAACGTCCCTTTCCTCTATTGTTCTGAATTCCATTATAATTATATTAGACTAATCAATTTTGCAGAGATTGTCATAATACAAACAAACAAACAAAAGTAGTTTAGTGTAACGACAACTAACGCACCATGTCAGCTTCAATGGCAGCATTCTGAGTATCCAATATCTCCTGAATTTTCTGTTTCTTCATTTTCTGCATTTCTTTAAGTCTAGCCTTCTCACGTTTGCTGATTTCAGGAGCATCATCATCTCCTCCCTGAAGCCACACAAAAAAATCAGCTCGTAACCACGTTGTTTATCAAAAACACACGGACTCTCTCACACACACACTCACAGTCTCACTGTAGTATGCAAGTTTTCACCGAATTTTCAAATCAAGTCAACAAAAATTCAATTCAAATTCATCTCGCAATCTCAATAACAAAACATGCATAGTTAATCAGCACACAGAAAATATAAACCCTAGAGTATAAAAGAGATAAAGGAATTGGAGAAAAACGAGCAAAATAAGAGCTAGACCTGTTCATCGTCGTCAACGTCTTCAGCAGCAGCATCTTCATCGGAATCCGGCGGATTATCACCGGTAACTTCATCATCATCGGAACTAGCCGCGCGAGCTACAGCTTCCAGCTCCTCTTCATCTTCTTCTTCGTTGATCTGCTCATTCACTTGCTCTTCCTCCGATGAACTCGAAGAGTTGGAGAATTCTTCGTCGGATGAAGCCTGTTGCTTCGAAGCTTTCGCCATTGAATCTCGAATTCAAGGGTTTGTGTTGTGAGCGGTAGAAAACGAAAGAGGGGTTGTAATAATGGATGTTTGAAGACACTATGTTATATGATTCGGGCAATGGTTTGTTATTGCGATGTTTATGGCCGTCCGATCAATGAAGTAAATGTACGGCTACGACTTTGAAGGAAAATTTTGTTTCCCGCCATGGGTTTGGAAATGTAGATTTTTCCCACCTTTGTGTAGCCAGCCCGTTATAAAGCCCACAAAATATAATAAGAGATAATTGAGAACTTAATTTGCCACACCCCATTTGAATTTGGTATGAATAGATAATATTGTCGTTGCAATAGTTTGTTATTCATTTTTCGAAATTTACCTTTCACACGAGCAAATTTTTAATTCTTTGAATTAATACAGGAAATATGAAAACAATATGTTTTTTTTTTTACCGTAAATAAAAAATTTGCATGATTTTATACTGGAATTTCAAAATTTTCGATAAGAATTAAAATATTTAGATCAAAAATTTTACAATTTTCGGTACAAAATGACATGTAAATTTCTGAAAATTTGAGAATTTTCGGTAGTTATAAGAACTTTGTTTTTTATTGGAAATTTCAGAATTTCTGAAAAAATTAGGAAAATTTTAAATTTAGTGGAATTTCTGGTATTTATTAATCTTTTTATTTTTTCCATTTTTTGCATTGAAATACAAGGGCAGGGACGAAACTATTGTAGGCAGAGCGGTAGACCAGGCTATGGCTGCTGAGGCTTAGTCTTCCCATATAATGGTTGGACAACTAGTTTCAACTGGTTCACACCATAAATGGTTGGTTTAGAATGGGCAGCTATGCCCACCCCATAGCACCTAACGTCGAGCGGTTAGATCATTTGAGCAGTCTAGCGGTCAAGATAGATGCGACACATATTGTTGTTAAGGTTGTTGATGAGTTGATTGCTGATGAAGTGGTTCGGCTAGATGTTGTTGTTGCAAATGAGGTGGTACAACTGAATATCGTTGTTGTTGATTCGATCCCATCTATTATTGCTGACGCAGAGGTTACGACTCCTTCGGTCGAGCCGTCTGTGCACATTGATGAAGGATTCTCGGGAGGACCCATTGACCGATCGGTAATTACTTAGCATGATGACCATGTGGCATACCGACTGTGGCAGGGAGGTGTATATCTTTTATATTTAACTTTAATCTATTTATTATTGTGCCATGAAAGCTAACTGATGACTTTTTAAATTTGTTTGTTACATGATTGTATCCTGCTGAAGTTGACATCGCATGGATCGAAGTTGAAGAACTTCCCGAAGACTATGATGCCTGAGTAGGTCAGACGTATTGTACGTGAGTTTGTGCTCCTTGATTTTGTCGACTGCTCTCTCATCATGTTCGATGCTCCACTTCTTATTGCTTTTGTTAAGAGACGGCACAATGAGACATCTTCATTTCATCTTTCATTTAGGAATATGATTATTATTTTGGATGATGTCTCCTCATTATTTCATCTCACCGTCGCTGCTAAATTTTGGATGGCTCCTATTATTAGCTTGACGCGTGCATGTTTGATTGTTGCACGAGATTTTGGAGTTTCTGAGGAGGTTGTGCTGGAGGAGCTTGGCTTTGCGACATAAAGATACGAGGTCGTCGTTACAGCGTACATGCTACATCTAGTAGCATGTACTCTCTCTGAGAATAAGTCAGGTGTTTATATCAACGTCTGACACGCGTGGTTATTCAGTAGCCTTAACGTTACCAGTGAGGCTTAGGGGTGCGCTTCGTTGACCATCATGTATACAACGCTTGAAGTGGCGAAAGTATTTGAGATCAAACATCTTGCTGGTTATTTTAGTCTATTACAAGTATACTTGAAATTATTATTTGTTGTTGATTTCTTATTTAATTGTTACGAATAACATTTTTTAATTATTATTTGTTGTGCTTGTGTTCGAATATCAGTGTTGGATATACGAGCATTTCTCCACCATCTGTGATAAGATGGTGCAACATTCACTAGTGGGGGGCCCCATGGGCGAGGAGATTGAGGGTCAAGCAGTCACGTATCGGTTGTGATGTGGAATACAAAAGAAGGCAAGATGTGTTGATTGTAGATGATGTCATTTAGACACCATACACTGATCATAAAGTCCACCATGAGTTTGATGACTCTTCTTTATATTTAGGTTATATGCAGTGAGAAACCATGGTCGCTAGACACTTGCCTGAAAGATGTCTGCGACAATATGGTTATGTTAAGAGCATTACACGACCACTTTTGAATATTCCATCAGCTAGCATTGACGGGTGGTTTCAAAGTAACATTGTCAGCTCTGGTTGTGTCATTAGAGATCACGTTGTTACGGTTCTACATGCCTTGCAGTGAGGATGGTTACTTGGAGTGGTACCTCGTTGTATCACACTCTCGCATCATCCCACCTGTTGAGCATACAGATGATGTTGGGCCTTCCGATATTGGGGTACCTATCGAAGACGTGCAACCGTCGCCTTCTACAATTGATGTCAATGACCAGCAACGGCTCTAGATGATTGTAGTTATTATGGATAACCTCGTGGGTTTGGTAAGCCCGTATGGGAGATTTATATTGAATTATCTTGTGATGCACACATAGCTCGCGGGACCTATTTAGACATTATTGTAATCTTTATGTATTGTTTGTATATTATTTGTATATTACACTAGCATTCAAACGACCACTCTCATACCCGTTTGTCTGTCTTTTAAAATAAATACATCGATCTAAATATAAACAGATATTTATTTTTAATTATTTATGTAATAAGTTTTGTGATTTTTTTTTGTTATTAATGTTATTAGAGAGAAAAATATTTATAAAAGTTAAATAATGATGCTATATTTAAAATATAAAAAATAAATTAGTAGGTAAAATTAAAATGAGGGAATCAGTTATATAGATATATTAGCAAAATATATAAATTGCATTTAAATCATGTGCATTAACCTAATAACAAGTTCTTCATAATAGAAAATAAAAGAATCGGTTATAAATGGATTATTATCGAACATTCTTAATTGATTGTAAGTGCGAAATGAATTACTCATCAATCAAATTGACATTTCAAGTTTGAATATATATATATATATATATATATATATATATATATATATATATATATATATATATATATATATATATATATATATATATATATATATATATATATATATATATATATATATATATATATATATATATATATATATATATATATATATATATATATATATATATGAAATAGAGAAGATTAAAATTTAAAGTTAAAAATCATATAAAAGAAAACAAATACGATATTTTGGATAAAAGAATAATAAATTATTCTTGATCACACTTATATTGTTTTTTTTAAATTGATATTTAAATATAATTAGTTATTAATCATCTCGAATAAATTTAATATGTTCATCTTCTATTTGATAAAATACATGATATAGTGTGATTAGAATGGATCATCGTTACCTTCAATGTAGGACAATAAGAGTGGTCGTAAGAGATGAGGGGGTGTCCCTACAAGGTACTCCGATGTCAAAGTAAATTTTTGGGCTAGAGAGAAAGCAAACTATAAGTGTTTATGTATGATGTAGAATGATTAGGATATCTGACCCTCTCAAGAGATAGGGTATTTATGAGATTTTCCTCAGCGCAGGGCCAAGGTCCCCTATGTGATCGAAATATCTGGTCGGCCAATGGGGGACTGTCAGGTGGAAGATCTAACGCGTGATCTTTGACCTGATCCAACTGCCCCCGTGACTTTCGGAGGGACCGTTGGTCGCGTGAACTGTCAAGCGCGCGAGGAGGATGTCCCCAACAGTTATATGTTTCAACGATTATATTGTGTCCAACGGTCATATTGTTCCCAACGACTATATTGTGCCAAATGGCTAGATTGTCTTAATCTCCTTATTAGGTATGACCTTGAGCTAAACTGGATTGGGCCTTGCCCAACTGTGGGCATGTGTCAGTCCAGTCTAGAACATGAGCCCCCCAAGTCGTTGCTTCGAGGTGAGGAGTAATGACTTGAGTTAGCCTAGTTGGTCGACCAAGGGGCAAGAACTATATCGCGGGGAGATCTTTGAGGTTGCTATTTGTAATACCCCAAATTTTACCCTTATATTTAGTCAGTCATCTCGCATAGCATCTCATCTGTGCATCTGCTAACCACTATCGGGTCATGGAGGTGTTTGTTTTGCAGGAATTACCCCAGGGGCATTTTGGTCATTCTTCGTGGAGTCCGCAATTTTTGAGACAAATGAGACATTCTTCCTTAGGCATTGATTTATCACATGGATTGATTATATCAAGGTGTCGACATGTTGATTGGTACCGAGAAACTCTTGTCAGAAAAATGAGTGGACTCGGGGCCGTTTCATTGATAAAGGTTTGGACTGAAAAGAAGAGGGATTTTGTTAAGGTTATGATCGGCGGGAGTTTAGTTTGAATTTGCTCGGATGTAATCAGGTTGCGGTACCTCGTTTATAAAATTGGTCAAGGCCAAGGAGGAGTAAGTTTTAAATATTTTTGAACTTTTATTCATAAGTATTTATAAGTTACGACTCAAGGGTGAATTTAAATGATTTTTGAACTATTATTCATAAACATTTCAAATTTACAATTGATAAGTAAATATAAATATTTTTTGGAATTTAGTTCATAAATATTTAAGGTACAATTGAAAGGAATAAATGACTTTTGAATTTCATTCATGAATATTTGTTTACAAGAGGTTTCATTTACACTGAGCATCTATTCTAAAAAAGGTCCTAAAGGATCCTAAGTGTTCTTCATGATGCTCCTTTGATTTTCTCCGCGAATCTTCGATCAACCTGCACAACAAAGACAAAACAAACAGAAGCAAGAAAGGGTTAGAAGGTATCTTCGACACTCTCAGAACATCATCATCATTGAGTGCCGGGAGTGGCACGACCGAAGCCGCATCCTACCCCCGTTACCGATCTGCGCCATTGGCGTCC